GACAGCGAGCATGTGATATCGTACGCTAGCCGCTCATTGAGTCGCCCCGAGCGCAACTACACTGTCACCGAACAAGAGTGTCTGGCGGTCGTCTTCGCTGTGCAACGGTTTCGATCGTATCTCTACGGGCGCCCCTTTACTGTCGTCACGGATCATCACTCTCTATGCTGGCTTGTGAATCTTCGGGATCCCTCTGGTCGACTAGCACGCTGGGCGCTCCGTCTGCAGGAGTATGATTTCGTTGTTTCCTACAAGAGCGGCCGGCGACACGCTGATGCTGATTGTCTCTCTCGCCTGCCACTCCCAACGACTGAATGTGACGCGGACAACTTTGATGAATACATCGCTTTTGTGTCCACGGGATTTCCGGATATGGATACCTTCATATCAGAGCAGAGGAAAGACGACAGCTTACAGCCGCTATTCGCGGCCGCGCGGGAGTCCGCTGCAGACAATCGTTTTCGCTTACGTGACGGCGCCCTATATAAGACGAACTTCTCGGCTACCGGTGCGCGCTACCTTTTGGTTGTCCCCAAGAGCCTTCGCAGTCACGTATTATCTGCCATGCACGACGAACCAACTTCCGGACATCTTGGATGCACAAGAACACTCTACCGTGCTCAGGAACGCTTTTATTGGCCCCGGATGCGCAATGATACCGAACGGTACGTCGCCAGCTGCACCCAATGTCAGCGTTACAAGCGACCAACTGACGCGCCGTCCGGTCGCCTTCAGCCTGTTTCGCCTCCTAGCACCCCCTTTGAGCAAGTTGGTATAGATCTTCTGGGCCCTTTTCCGCGATCCACAGACGGCAATCGTTGGGTCATCGTTTGCGTAGACCACTTAACCCGTTATTGTGAGACGGCAGCACTGCCGTCGGCCACAGCAAAAGACGTTTCCATCTTCTTGCTGTTTCAAGTTATCCTCAGACACGGACCTCCTCGCATCGTAATCAGCGACCGTGGGCGGCAATTTACCGCGGATGTTGTCGAAGAGACCCTTCGTCTGTGCTCATCAAGCTTCCGCCATTCCACTCCATACCATCCACAGACTAATGGTCTAGTGGAACGCACGAACCGAACGCTTGCCAACATGCTGTCCATGTACATCGACTCCGCGCACAAAAACTGGGACACAATTTTGCCTTTCATCACCTATGCTTTCAACACCGCAAGACATGAGACCACTGGTTACTCACCTTTCTTTCTCCTTTATGCTCGTCCACCACGCTATAATCTTGACACTATGCTTCCCTACTCTGCTCATCGCAGTGAGCCGATCAACGAGATTCTCTGTAGAGCAGAAGAAGCGCGACGCCTCGCTCGGCTACGCACCGTCACCTCGCAAGACCGATCAAAGATCCGCTATGACGACCGTCACCGACATGTTCACTTCAATCCTGGAGATCAGGTGTGGCTCTGGACGCCTTTACGGAAACGTGGCCTGTACCAGAAATTTCTCGCTCACTATGTCGGGCCCTACGTTATCCTCGAACGCCTCAGTGAGGTCAACTACCGCATAGCACGGCTCACAAGCACTGGACGGCGCTCGGCTAAAACAGAAGTGGCGCACGTCGCTCGCATGAAGCTATGCAATGCACGAACCACTGAGTGACTCGCCCGGCGGGCTTCGTCTGCCAACGGGGAAATGTCACGAGCGGTTGCAATGCACGGCGCATACAGCGCGAATGAACATTCAGAAAAAAAGGTGAAGAAGGAAGACGACGTTGGGTGTGCTGTCTCGAGGCCCCTTGTGGAAGTAAACGCGAACCATCCAGGCTCGCCTGTTTTTCAACCTTTTCGTGTACTTCTTGCGTGTAACAGTATCATTGAATGCCCACTGCAAGCACAGTTAAGTACCCCCTATGCCGTAATTACGATAGTTATAGCGCGAGAACAGAACGACGACGCAGAGACAAGAAGGACACGAAGGACTGTCTCTGCGCCGTCGTTCTATTCTCGCGCTATAACTATCGTCATGTCATACCAACTAGCCCAAGCTGCCACACTTCTATGTGCTAATTACATTTGCAAATCAGCCAAGGAGCCACTATATGCAAACCTAAAGAGCTGTTCACTTTGTTGATGCTGCTGGTAATGATGAAATACTACTACATCTGAGCACTTTTTTAATGTGCAGGCCTTCAAAAAACCTACTTCTGGCTAAATTCAGATGTTTTGATGCCTGGTACAAATCTACACTTCTGCCACAATGCATGACTCCATCCACTTTATGACATGAGTCATGTGAGTTTGTTTCCAAAGCAATGTTAACAAATATTGTGGCTTTGTGGCAGAATACCTGCTTGCCAGGCAGACAGCCTGGGTTCACAAGAACCCAAAAGTTTTTATTACTTATTTTACGTGCATCTTTATTTTCTTTGGTCACAGACAAGAGGACAATTTCTCACTCAGAGCCAATGAAGCTGATGCCAAAATTTCTGCAAAACAACCTCTTCAGTGCTATCGTGTTAACCACCTTGCCGTGGTGGTCTAGTGGCTAAGGTACTCAGCTCTTGACCCACAGGTCACGGGAACGAATCTTGGCTGCGGCAGCCGCATTTCTGATTGAGGTAGAAATGCTGTAGGCCCGTCTGCTCAGATTTGGGTGCCCGTCAAAGAACACCAGGTGGTCGAAATCTTCAGGGCCCTCCAGTACGGTGTCTCTCATAGTTATATCGTGGTTTTGAGACTTTAAACCCCACATATCAATGAAATCAATTAATCATGTTAACAAGAGGACAGTCTATGGCTAGCTTGATTCACTCAAAACGGGCAAGTTGGACAACTATGTGTTACAGGATCCAACTCTTGTTATAAAGATTCTTGATAAAAGAACGTATAGACATGAAGACACGGACACAAAAGAAGAAATCAAGACACCACAAATGTTTGTTGTACTGTGTTTGCACATCTGGTGTCTTGGTCACCTTTCTTGTGTCTTCACGCTTGCTTTCTTTTATAATCAACTCATACCAACTTGCTCTGCTTACTGTTGTTCCAAGTGTTCTAATGTTTTTTTCTTTTGATAATTCGTGGGACCAGTCATTCATGAGAAAAAACTTTTTCCAAGTTGACAGATGTCAAAGCTAAATTAGGATCCACTCTTATGACCCAGGAATGATTTTGATGGCTGATGCTGCCATTTGTCAAGCAAAAAAGTGCAGTATCCATTGCTATCGATCACATTCTGAGGTGTATTACATGTACAGCATGCAAGCTTTTATTATGAATGTCTTGTTCTTGCTATTCATAGCAAATGAGAAGGGACTGAAAATGAGCAAGTAGAGACTACTCTTCAGGACTTGTCATCTTGACTTCGACAGCACAAAACAGCCTTTATTATTATTACCTTCTTAAAAGAGGTTGCGGTGCCCCATGGTGCTGCCCAAGCCCAAGTTCAAATGCCAAATGTCCCATAGTTCTTTACCGCTCAGCTCGAACAGTTACTTCTTACACTAGCATTTTGTTTTGCAGTGTTTTTTTTTTCTTCTTTTTTCATGATGTCTACAGCCGTATGTAAATAAAGAGTATGTCACATGTGCCTGCTCACATGAGAAACTTCTGTCTACTTTTGTCACTGACTTTTGTGTTTTACTTTTTGAGGTGGTTCTTTTTATCGTCGCACTGACTTCATGCACAATTTCTCTGCAATAAATGGTTCTGGTTCTGGTTGGTGAGTTATTACACTACTTAAACCACACAGCGACTCTGTCAGTCAAATTGCATTTTTTTTATCAAAAGTGCAACAAAAATTTATATGTTGATAACTTGGCAAAAGTTTGCAAACCATACCTGTAATACTTTGCATGCCTCAAGAGTCACATTTTTTTGTTAAAAACATGCCCCATAGGTCAGCAAACTCACTCGGACTCACTCAGACACAGATCGAGCCGTGCATCTAAATGAGTCCGAGTGAGTAATATTTTTATGAGTGTGAGTCCAGTTGAAGAAAATTGTCGTAAGTGTGAGTTTGGGTGAGTCCAAAGCGCAACATGTATTTCTTGAGTGAGTCTGAGTAAGTTCAACTTTTTTTACGCCTAATTAAGATCCCATCAAGTTATCTTAAGCATTATTATTAGCCTTACCTGGATTCACATTTATACTCGCGTCTACTCACACACAGGTATTCCAAAGCAGTGTCATTTATACACAGTTTTAATATTTCTTGATCGGAGCCGTGAATTACAAAGAGTTGCCTTGACCTCCCCCCACCGACTATTCCATGGAAGTTCTGAATAAATATATGTTGTGCTGTCTCCTCTCCCAAGGAAAATGACCTTACTGGTTCACAAGCACTTGGAACTCGGTTTCGAAGATGCTATGTTGAAAGGCACCAAGATGAGCACCGAATAAGCATGAAATTCGTGTTATAAAGCATTGGCACAAGGGTTGCAAAAGCTCATTCTAGGCCAACGGGCTCGTGAGTCGACCCACTCAGACTCACTCAGACTTTCATCGAGCTATGAGTCTAAGTCTGAGTGAGTCTGGGTGACTAATGCTTTGGTGAGGCTGAGTACGGTTGAGGAAAACTTTCAGGAGTGTGAGTCCGAGTGAGTTCGGCTCACTGAAATTTTCATGAGCCCAAGTCCGAATGAGTCCAAAGGTCGAAATATACTTCATGAGTGAGTCTGAGCTTCGCACGTTTTGTCGACCTATGATGTGCACCTTTGCTAAGCTTTGTTTCTGTTATGGAAATGCATCTGCACTTTGCGCATTAAGATATGGGACGTCATCATTGGCATTACATGTCTTAGTGTAACACAGAAGCCATTTATGAGGACCCATAATTGTAGGAGGAGGTATGCTATGACGAGAATGGGCTTCCTTTCATGTCGAATCCTGCATATTGGCAAACTTGGAAGGCAAACAAGTTCAGGGACTTAAACTTGAGTAATCTGTGCAAGTTGAACTGTTTTCAGGGCCTTGAAATATGGCATAATGTTCGAGAGCTCCTGTAGGTCCTGAAAGAGAAGAGGTCACTGACAAAAAGACACTCACTTCCTGCTTCTCCATGGTTGTCTGCTCGGTGATGCGCGCCATGAGTTCGGTCATGTTCGTGTCAACCACCAGACCCCCCATCACAAGTTCATTCAAGATGTGATGCACCTGAAATGAATCAACGAGAGGACAAGTGTCAGGAAGTATTCGGAATGTTTTTTTCTACTGGTTTCCAATGCTCGATGTTGCATTGAAGTTACAGCACCAGAACAGTCAGCAAATGCAGTCAATTATGCTCAGAGTGCTCAAGTGCATGTACACTTCCCAATGACATTACTTGAAGGGTTCCATTATATTCAACCTGAACAAACAGCTCATTACATAAAATAGAGCGTTTGTTAAAGATTAAGCGCAGGCTCACACATGAAGCATTTTTTGCTTTCATGTATCAACCGGGGTCAGTAACCTGTAACAGGTCACTATGAAGACTGTCAGTTTTAGCACGTGCTGCCTAAATAGCCAATGCAGCCGACAGTCTAGTCCACTGCCAGTCTGCTGGTTCTCTAGGTATGCCCACTGAAAGCATGCCAAAATGGACAGTCGCAAAACACCACCCGACTAGCCCAAGTAAAACTGTCCACAGCTGTTGCGCACAAACAAATGTGAAATGCAGCTGCTCTCTGCTGTTCCACCACACCCTTGCTTGGCAGCAAGTAAACTTGTATTCGATGACTAAAGGGGCCCTGCAACACTTTTTAAGCGTAGTCTGAAAACGCTGTCGATCAGTAGTCGAGGCTCCAGAGAACATGCGAGCCAAATATTTTAGCGCCGCACATGGCCTGGAATTCACAATAGATTCTCAAAGTAAGCTAAAGATTCCTTTCTCTTCTCACAACAAATGATGGAACAAGCCCAGAAATCACTCATCCCAGCCACTGGTTCATTTTAACATGGCGCGCTCTGCCGTGACTGGAGGCCGTGACCTGTCCGCGAATGCATGTCCGATCACATTGAAAAGCTGCACATTCAAGTAAAAAATGAGAAAAAGTGCTGAAGGCGCGCATGACATTTTCCTTCCCTGTGCCACCTCTCCCTGCTTAGCTTCGATTGCTTTTGCCAAGATGAGAGCAGAGAGAACGCTATTGCAGCATGCAACAAATCTTTCTTACTCCTCTCATACTGGATGGATTCTAAAAAATTTTGCTGCAGTCAGTTCGTGAGGCAATAAGTTCTTTTAATGAATCCGTTCTATGGCTACTTCAAAATGTTGTGAAGGACCCCTTTAAAACCATGCTTACAATATCACAGCCCTTAAGTGTTACAGTTCTTACCGTGCCCATTTGGGAAAATTTGGCAGAATAATCCAACAATGTGATGCTGAGAATGCTATAGATGTGCACCCGCCTTGCGAAACGACAACCAGTCCTAGCAGAGTGCATGATTATGAGCTGCAGCATTTCATCTCACACAGGTGCAGAGTAGCCTCAATTGTCTCCCAAGCAACAAAGCATCCTGCCCAGTTTAATGCACACTGCACACTCTTTGCACTTGATGGCATCGAGCAAAGAAGTCGGGTTCACTTAAGTGCGACTTCATTGTCTAAACATGAAATGTGCCGGCAAAATGAAGTGCTCTGGCCAGGTCACAAGCCTGAGGCAGCTATGCCTACTTGACTTGCCCGAGTGGACGTTGTCGGTGAAGCAGTAAGTAGACTGCTTGATGACCACTCAGCACAACATAGTAATTTGGCATGACTGACCAGCACTGATTTGTACTGCTTTACGCAGAGAAATGCTGGGTGCAAGTGAAACACCTGTGCTACTTGCCCTCTCACCAACTTGTTCCTTACATGCAGCAATGAAGGCAGAGATTTTCAAGGGCTCACTTCTTTGTTTGATGCAACCTTAATGAAAACCAGCAGATAACGAAGCCAAGGAAACAATAGAGGAGAAGTCGATTGTACTGTTTATTGTAGTAATTGTGATGTAAAGGAAGTAAAGTAGACGAAAAGACAACTTACCTGCAACCATGAGATTATGCCCCTGATACCCTTACCGATTGAGCTATTGCAGCAGACTTTGTTGGATATTTATGTGTGGGAGTGATAGCGCCAGTCGCAGCCGTGGCGGAAAATGTGGTACCTTTTTTTTTTTTGCCAGCTGGCGTCACATACCACACAATTTTTTAACAAGCAGAAAGTTGACGGTTAAGTTTTCACATAAATATCGAAGTCATCAGGTCTGCTGAAGACATTTGCTATGAATGAATGAAGGCACTTTTTAAGGGGACGTTTCTTTGCTAGACACCCTGTGCAAGTTACTCACTCAGGCATTGTATTACGAATGGTATGGTAAAGGCCTACCATGTATTTCCTGGTTGACTTAGTGTGTCTGAGCAACAGGAGGCACACACTGTCGTGACAGGGCACAGATTCAAGGTGTAACAGCAGTCATTAAAGCAGTCAGCAGCACAAAACTATCGATTTGTTCGTCTTTCCAAGCAAAGCCTTTTAACCACACCGGGTAAACTCAACTTGCAACGATGGCCAAAATGACCTGACATCATGAAAATTTTGCCTGTATTGCCAGCCTCATTTTGCAGCAGCTAGTGAATGAGTTTTACAGCGAAATCTGTTATAAAATCAAAACACGGGTCACAAGCGGCGCCGTAGTTATCCGCCGCCGCTGCCGGTGTCCGTAACCAGTATCACAAGGAGTAAAAAAAAAATAATTCGGAAAATAAAAAACACCAAGGACAAAATGGAATTCAAACCCAGGTCTGCTGCGTGCTAGCCCAGTGTTGTACCAGTGAGCCACGCAGGTGCTTGGAACTCATTTCTAAACTGGCCTTAGGCAGGCTTGATGTAAGGAAAAGGAATCGCATTAATCTGAGTAATAAAGCATATTTGGAACATCAAAAGAACAGCCAGAAGTCACACAATGCAAATTGCGTAATGACTGGGTGTCCAAAGCTCTAACCCATTAGAAAACTTGTTCTTCATCACCTATCAACAGTGGTGCATACCCACTTCAGGTATAATTCTTCATTATCATCAGCCACTGCATAAAAAGTTGCACAGAATTCCTAGCAAGTGCGTAGCGGATACCACGTTTCTCCAAAGAATGATGAAGGATAACATAGTGAATGATGGCCTACTACACAAAAATTATGATTATTTATGGCATAGTGGGCACCTAGCAAGTGTGCTTGCAGCAACTACACAGAATAGGCTCTGAAAGGCCGCTCTTCGAGCTTTCGCTGTGCACCTTCCACGCCGACCTGGCATTTTTCTTCGTGTCTGACTTCATTGTGTATGGGGGCTAACTCTCAACATCTAGCCTTTTGCGCTACAGAGTCCAAAATGCGGACGTGGCCTGAATTGATGTGAGCTTGTACAAAATTGCAGAAGTGACACAGCTGACATTTTCAGAACAATGCATATGACCTTTATTACAGTGCGACACGTTTTTGGATAACAGACACATTATTCAACAGCTACAACAAGCACAATATGCAGTGCTAATGATATTGTGAGCCCTAAGAATCATGGGTAAGCATCGCTAGAGAAGCCCAGCCTCACCATGATACAAAAAGTAATGCTTGATAACAGAGACATAAGAGAACACGACTGTCTATGTCAGCCCACCTTACTTCCTCTCTCATGATGAATCTTTACCAACTGGGGCTACCTCATGTCATTCCACGTGACCGGCCTGTTACATACAACAATGCTGATAAGAACTTCCAGGGTCCACAGAGCTAAAACCATAATACTATGAAGCACACCATAGTCGAGGACTTCACCCTCTGGTGTTCACGATCTTGAAGCTATATCTAACAGCACGTCATGTTCTTGAACTTTCTCAAAACCAAAATACAGATGCTGCAGCTGGGAGCCAATTTCGTGTCCTTGAGCTTAGCAAAGAGACACTTCACAACGGCTAAGCTACCACAAGGGGTACACTATCTCCAACATGATCCAAAGAGGGTGCACCCCCAAATTTCTGCCTGACCTACTTTTGACCCCATCCCCCCCCCTACACTCAAAATGTAACACAGCCAAGGAACAATGCATGGGTTCCACATTGCCCTGAAAAATCTTGCATGTCTCGGGTGCCCCCCACAATAAAAAAAATCCTTCCTTGTGCTGCCCCTGACTGCAATGTGGGGCACTGCAAGAATATCAGGTATACATTCCAGGTTCTTTACTTTTCAACTTCCTACTAACTTTACAAGAAATAGCATTTCACCAAATGTTGAGTAAAGATGATTTTTGCTTTAATTTAATACAGTGTAATTTGCTCATAATGATGCCACATGTCATGACATTTATTTATTATTTCTTTACCCAGTACTGCTAGCCTTCAGTTGAGGCTGTAAGAAGGAGTAGGAGTAACAACTAGGAAACAAATGAAGTGAACAAACTAAACTACAAAAACCGTGTCATGATAAATCAACAAGAACATGAACAACAAGAACAAGATATTGTATCGCTTATAACAAGTAACTGTAAAATTTCTCAGATTTATCAATATATTTATGGCCTCATGCAAAAGCAAACCATATATATGATGATACAAACAGCGACACAGTTTATGTGTTCTGGCCACTCGGTAGACAAGTACTAAAAACATTTGTCTCGGACCTTTATAAAGGTAAATTAACTTGCAAAGAATGGAGTGAAAACTGATTACAAGAGCCCAAACAGGCCACCACAAAGAAATTTCTGAGAGGGCTTTATGTGTGGCAATGTCATTGAAGGAGAGGAGGGAAAGAGCTCGCTTGCCCCGCCACGGTGGTCTAGTGGCTATGGTACTCGTCTGCTGACCCGCAGGTCGCGGTATCAAATTCCGGCTGTGGCGGCTGCATTTCCGATGGAGGCGGAAATGTTGTAGGCCCGTGTACTCAGATTTGGGTGCACGTTAAAGAACCCCAGGTGGTCAAAATTTCCGGAGCCCTCCACTACGGCGTCTCTCATAATCAAATAGTGGTTTTGGGACGTTAAACCCCACAAATCAATCAATCAAAGAGCTCGCTTGGTAGTGGCACAGTTTGTAACTTGAGTTTCTGCATGTTTGTGAATTAGTAAAAGACGGCACCGCCTAAATGACAGGCAATATTGCTTGAAGTGTAGCAGTAAACTCATCAAAACTTTACGCAGGGTCTCA